CCTACACGTACATGGTTCAGGGCAACCTAGGAGGACAGTGAGCAAAATATACTCTCCACTTTCAGTCGTAAAGGGGGCACAAAGAACGCATGCGGTACCAACAGCTGGAATAGGTATGGCTTCTGGGTTCTGGGATGAAGGGGGTGTCATCAAGGTGGGTTACCTTCGGAGGGGCCACACACTAAATAGAGCGTTTCATGCTGCAATTGCAGGCTGAAATTAAGACAAAAAGTGTGCTCTTTCATACAATCAGTCATTCTAATATACAGTGTGGCTTTCAGCTACTTCAGAATCCTCTTTATTCTTCTGATCTGGATCATACTGCCATACTGCCAGCTGGCCGTTACCGCCATAGCATCTGTTTTAGCCAGTCAAGAGAAGAACGTCTTGGAAATCTTGATAAAATCTGTATAACATAGTTCGCAAAGAGTATCAGTGTGAATGGGGATAATGTAAAATACTTCGTTTTAATGTCTTTAGGTTAAGTGTTTTATGCAAGGCTCTTATCAGTTACCCCTCATGAACTGTAGGTGAGGCAGACTGCCATGATAAGGGGTAAGTCATATACAGGGTCTAAAACATAACTGATAACAACCTCTCTCATGTTTTAGGTTATGTCCACGTGTGTAAATGTACTTTAATAGCATTGCGTGTGTTAAACACCTCTGTATTCTGCTCTATAGTATAACGAAACGTACGGCATCACTACAATGTCTCTACTCCGTGTTTGTGTTTCAAGCCGACAGCTAAGTAGGCACCCTGTATGTTTAATGGGGTTTCTGCCCCAGTTTCGATGGTGCAAGACCTTTGGTTCAGGAGTGAGAGGCATCAAGTCAGAGCCGTGCAACAACCGTTACTACAAACATACCGCCAAGTTGGCCACGGTTTATCACTGTCAGTCGTAAAATAGATTCATCAACACAACATATGGATCTATAATTAGTATATTGATCTAATAGTATAACGATAAGGATATATATCTAATTGGTTGTTTTAATTGCAACTCCTGAATAATAACAATAACGTTTTTATATGCAATGAACTACGTTTATAACGAACTGAAAGGGCCGCTAGTTATATTTCAATTCAACCGTAGATAGTCCTATGCCTTATTACCTTTATTAATACTGAGTTTTCTAACTCTAGTCGTCGCGTTTTATAAACAGAATATATCCACTTCAAAGGCAACCACCCTAGTAACTGTTTTACAATTGTTGATTGAGAGTGTCAGAACATAACCTAGTTAATCACTTGCCTTCTAATGTTTGTTGCTAGTTTGAACAGCCACATGTGCTGGTGGAAGTTTTGATATGCCATCCTTTACACATGAGAAGCTCAGAGATCATATTGTTCGTGATACACATAAACAATGTCGTTGACAGAGGGTGTGTCAGAGGGACCACAAAGTGGGTTCGCCATATCCATCAGTTTGTCATAAGCATATTTGGTATATTCGTTAATGCTATGTGATACAATGTACAACAAATGACCGGCACCAAGGAAACACTAGGTTATATCCGTCAGTTCGTTGTAAGCATATTTGTTATATTCATCAAGGTTACATGATACAATGTACAACAAATGACCGGCACCAAGGAAACTCTGGGTTATATCCGTCAGTTCGTTATAAGCATATTTGTTATATTCATCAAGGTTATATGATACAATGTACAACAAATAACCGGCACCAAGGAAACTCTGGGTTATATCCCTCAGTTCGTTGTTAGCATATTTGTTATATTCATCAAGGTTATATGATACAATGTGCAACAAATGACCGGCACCAAGGGAACTCTGGGTTATATCCATCATTCATTGTTAGCATATTTGTTATATTCATCAAGGTTATATGGTACAATGTACAACAAATGACCGGCACCAAGGAAACACTAGGTTATATCCCTCAGTTCGTTGTAAGCATATTTGTTATATTCATCAAGGTTATATGATACAATGTACAACAAATGACCGGCACCAAGGAAACACTAGGTTATATCCGTCAGTTCGTTGTAAGCATATTTGTTATATTCATCAAGGTTATATGATACAATGTGCAACAAATGACCGGCACCAAGGAAACTCTGGGTTATATCCGTCAGTTCGTTGTAAGCATATTTGTTATATTCATCAAGGTTATATGATACAATGTGCAACAAATGACCGGCACCAAGGAAACACTAGGTTACATCCGTCAGTTCATTATAAGCATATTTGTTATATTCATCAAGGTTATATGATACAATGTGCAACAAATGACCGGCACCAAGGAAACTCTAGGTTATATCCGTCAGTTCATTATAAGCATATTTGTTATATTCATCAAGGTTATATGATACAATGTGCAACAAATGACCGGCACCAAGGAAACACTAGGTTATATCCGTCAGTTCATTATAAGCATATTTGTTATATTCATCAAGGTTATATGATACAATGTACAACAAATGACCGGCACCAAGGAAACACTAGGTTATATCCGTCAGTTCGTTGTAAGCATATTTGTTATATTCATCAAGGTTATATGATACAATGTACAACAAATGACCGGCACCAAGGAAACTCTGGGTTATATCCATCAGTTCGTTGTAAGCATATTTGTTATATTCATCAAGGTTATATGATACAATGTGCAACAAATGACCGGCACCAAGGAAACACTAGGTTATATCCGTCAGTTCGTTGTAAGCATATTTGTTATATTCATCAAGGTTATATGATACAATGTGCAACAAATGACCGGCACCACCAAGGAAACTCTGGGTTATATCCCTCAGTTCGTTGTAAGCATATTTGTTATATTCATCAAGGTTATATGATACAATGTGCAACAAATGACCGGCACCAAGGAAACACTAGGTTATATCCCTCAGTTCGTTGTAAGCATATTTGTTATATTCATCAAGGTTATATGATACAATGTACAACAAATGACCGGCACCAAGGAAACTCTGGGTTATATCCCTCAGTTCGTTGTAAGCATATTTGTTATATTCATCAAGGTTATATGATACAATGTGCAACAAATGACCGGCACCAAGGAAACACTAGGTTTATATCCGTCAGTTCGTTGTAAGCATATTTTGTTATATTCATCAAGGTTATATGATACAATGTGCAACAAATGACCGGCACCAAGGAAACTCTAGGTTATATCCGTCAGTTCGTTGTAAGCATATTTGTTATATTCATCACTTATATGATACAATGTACAACAAATGACCGGCACCAAGGAAACTCTGGGTTATATCCGTCAGTTCGTTGTAAGCATATTTGTTATATTCATCAAGGTTATATGATACAATGTACAACAAATGACCGGCACCAAGGAAACACTAGGTTATATCCCTCAGTTCGTTATAAGCATATTTGTTATATTCATCAAGGTTATATGATACAATGTACAACAAATGACCGGCACCAAGGAAACACTAGGTTATATCCCTCAGTTCGTTGTAAGCATATTTGTTATATTCATCAAGGTTATATGATACAATGTGCAACAAATGACCGGCACCAAGGAAACACTAGGTTATATCCGTCAGTTCGTTGTAAGCATATTTGTTATATTCATCAAGGTTATATGATACAATGTGCAACAAATGACCGGCACCAAGAAAACTCTGGGTTATATCCATCAGTTGGTTATAAGCATATTTGTTATATTCATCAAGGTTATATGATACAATGTACAACAAATGACCGGCACCAAGGAAACACTAGGTTATATCCATCAGTTCGTTGTAAGCGTCTTCGTTATAAACTTAGTGTGTGAGCCCGTTGCATTATAAGTATATGGTTCCGGGCACAACGAGAGTTAGAAAACGGGGGACAGTAGGCAAAATATGTTCTCCATTCTGTTAGTCTAAACGGAGTAAATGAACCAGCTGGTAAATAATGGCGTGATTCCTCCTCTTCTATTCCGCGTCTGTTAGTGATTCAGGTGACACTGATGTATCTGTCGATCTGTTAACACACTCTCTTTAAACACCTTACTGCGGTGTTCAGTGAAAAATAGCAAGGCTGCAGGAAGACAGACACAAAATCTCGACTTTTTCAACTTCTAATTTGAGGATTTCATCACTGAGAGATTAGAAGTTATCATTCAAAGAAATAGGTTTTGGTCTTCAGTGTAATCTACTCTACATGCGAGTCTTCTATTAGACGCCAGTCTAACATTTCATGTAGTGGAATACGCCTTTATAGATGTGTTTCCGCTCCCATTATGGGAGACAAAACACACTATAGATATCGATTCGAGAACATCATCAAAGTTTGCAAGTATGTAAATAAGCACTCACATAAACCAATTATATTTTTTATACTCACAGTTTACATCAGCTATTAAGACAAATTGAAGATAGCAATATTATTACAGGTCTAATTCCTATTTACTGGCCCGTACAACACCTCATCAAAGAAAACGATTCCAGAGTAACCCACACCGCCATTAATACATTCCTCAATCATTCCGATTAATGCTTCATTACCTGCGCGTTATCGTTCCCTAATATGCTGGGCCAGTGCGGCATCTCTTTACAAGCAGTCTCTCTGAGAAACGCTTTACATAGTCACACACACGCGATATACATGCAGTAATAGGAAGTCTGAACAAGCCCCTCTGTTTACCTCCCGTGACAGACACATCACTTTGTGACGTCATCAGCTCAGATCACTGGATAGAACCCTGGATGTTATCACAGTGGAATGTGGTTAGAAAGAAGTTGCTAATAGTAGGTGTAACTCTGGGTTTTATATACAGTTGTAGATGTAAATGCTCGCCCTCTGGTTTGGTCAGATTTACATCTCATAATGGTATTGACAGACTGACAGTGCCATGTTGTAGAGGATGAAGACAAGGAAGATTCTGGGATCACGTCTCCCATGTTCCACTCCATTACAGAAAGATGTATTCAGACTGGCTTATATAGAGAATCTCACCCAAGTGTCTACTGATATCAATTATATCAACACGAGTTGATATGAGAAGAGAAGAGAGTGAGATTCTATTTATCATCAAAGATCACACTTCATTAGTTTTCAGTGATAAATGTACATCTCTGAACACGGTACTGCCATTAGACTTGCAGTGGAGCGATGTCATAGCATTGTGACGTCATTAAGTGTATAACGTCATGACATTGTGATCAGTCATCAGTTTTTGACGTCATAGCATTGTAGTCATGTAATTGATGATGTCAAAGCATTGTGATCTCATGTAATTGAGGACGTCAGGGCATTGTACAAAATTTACCGTCAAAACGATATCTCCTAGGAGATATCGTTTGATCTGCAGTGCAACACAGTTTTGGATGATAAATGTTTCAATAAATATAGAGAATCATAGAGAATAGCCAGTCTCCACTATCAATCGAAACAGATACCATTGGGCGCAACACGGAAAATGAAACCTATATGAATGGATCATTTATAATATCAGTGACACCGGGTGCCCGCGGAAATATACCTTTTGGTGTAAATCAGTACCACACACTAGTACCATGATCCTGATGACGTTTCAAACAGATTTACTCATAAATATTAACATACATTCCCATAGAGCAGGGTTAACAACAAAGACAATTTACATACCCCGTAGAAGAAGGTTAACGACAAGGACTAACACACATCTCCCGCAGAAGAGGGTTAACCCATAGTCAATTGCAATGTATTTTCAGTCAGGGACATTGTCTTATATCAGAAATCTGATGTCGTAAGACTTCACATTATTGAAGTGTGTATCACTTCTATTCATGAGTCAAAGGATCATCTGTATCTGTTGTAAAGTGTGAATATAATACGGTATTCTAAACGTGCATCTGGCGCCATATAAATGGTATATACTGCCTGCCTGCATGTGTCCTGACTACGACGTTTCCACACAGTCTTGGTGTACCCTGTCATGTATATACTGACTGCCTGCACGTGTCCTGGCTACGACGTTTCCACACATTCTTGCTGTACCCTGTCATGTATATACTGACTGCCTGCACCTGTCCTGGCTACGACGTTTCCACACATTCTTGCTGTACCCTGTCATGTATATACTGACTGCCTGCACCTGTCCTGACTACGACGTTTCCACACAGTCTTGCTGTACCCTGTCATATATATACTGCCTGACTGCATGTGTCCCTGACTACGACGTTTCCACACATTCTTGCTGTACCCTGTCATGTATATACTGTCTGCCTGCATGTGTCCTGACTACGATGTTTCCACACATTCTTGCTGTACTCTGTCATATATATACTGCCTGCCTGCACGTGTACCTGACTACGACGCTTCCACACAGTCTTGGTGTACCCTGTCATGTATATCCTGACTGCCTGCACGTGTCCCTGACTACGACGTTTCCACACAGTCTTGCTGTACCCTGTCATGTATATACTGACTGCCTGCACGTGTCCCTGACTACGACGTTTCCACACAGTCTTGCTGTACCCTGTCATGTATATACTGACTGCCTGCACGTGTCCCTGACTACGACGTTTCCACACAGTCTTGCTGTACCCTGTCATGTATATACTGCCTGCCTGCACGTGTCCCCCTGACTACGACGTTTCCACACAGTCTTGCTATACCCTGCCATGTATATACTGACTGCCTGCATGGGTCCCTAACTACGACGCTTCCACACAGTCTTGCTGTACCCTGTCATGTATATACTGACTGCCTGCATGGGTCCCTGACTACGACGTTTCCACACAGTCTTGCTGTACCCTGCCATGTATATACTGCCTGCCTGCACGTGTACCTGACTACGACGTTTCCACACATTCTTGCTGTACCCTGTCATGTGTATACTGACTGCCTGCATGTGTCCCTGACTACGACGTTTCCACACAGTCTTGGTGTACCCTGTCATGTATATACTGACTGCCTGCACGTGTCCTGGCTACGACGTTTCCACACAGTCTTGCTGTACCCTGTCATGTATATACTGACTGCCTGCACGTGTCCTGGCTACGACGTTTCCACACATTCTTGCTGTACCCTGTCATGTATATACTGACTGCCTGCACGACGTTTCTGTCCTGGCTACGACGTTTCCACACATTCTTGCTGTACCCCTGTCATGTATATACTGACTGCCTGCACGTGTCCTGACTACGACGTTTCCACACAGTCTTGCTGTACCCTGTCATATATATACTGCTGCCTGCATGTGTCTGACTGCATGTGTCCCTGACTACGACGTTTCCACACATTCTTGCTGTACCCTGTCGTCATGTATATACTGTCTGCCTGCATGTGTCCTGACTACGATGTTTCCACACATTCTTGCTGTACTCTGTCATATATATACTGCCTGCCTGCACGTGTGTACCTGACTACGACGCTTCCACACAGTCTTGGTGTACCCTGCCATGTATATCCTGACTGCCTGCACGTGTCCCTGACTACGACGTTTCCACACAGTCTTGCTGTACCCTGTCATGTATATACTGACTGCCTGCACGTGTCCCTGACTACGACGTTTCCACACAGTCTTGCTGTACCCTGTCATGTATATACTGACTGCCTGCACGTGTCCCTGACTACGACGTTTCCACACAGTCTTGCTGTACCCTGTCATGTATATACTGACTGCCTGCACATGTCCCTGACTACGACGTTTCCACACAGTCTTGCTGTACCCTGTCATGTATATACTGACTGCCTGCACGTGTCCCTGACTACGACGTTTCCACACATTCTTGCTGTACCCTGCCATGTATAAACTGAGTGCCTGCATGGGTCCCTGACTACGACGTTTCCACACAGTCTTGCTGTACCCTGCCATGTATATACTGCCTGCCTGCACGTGTCCCTGACTGCGACGTTTCCACACAGTCTTGCTATACCCTGCCATGTATATACTGACTGCCTGCACGTGTCCCTAACTACGACGCTTCCACACAGTCTTGCTGTACCCTGTCATGTATATACTGACTGCCTGCATGGGTCTCTGACTACGACGTTTCCACACAGTCTTGCTGTACCCTGCCATGTATATACTGCCTGCCTGCACGTGTCCCTGACTACGACGTTTCCACACATTCTTGCTGTACCCTGCCATGTGTATACTGACTGCCTGCATGTGTCCCTGACTACGACGTTTCCACACAGTCTTGCTGTACCCTGTCATATCTATACTGGCTGCCTGCACCTGTCCTGACTACGACGTTTCCACACAGTCTTGCTGTACCCTGTCATGTATATACTGACTGCCTGCATGTGTCCCTGACTACGACGTTTCCACACATTCTTGCTGTACCCTGTCATGTATATACTGCCTGCCTGCACGTGCCCTGACTACGACGTTTCCACACAGTCTTGCTGTACTCTGCCATGTATATACTGCCTGCCTGCACGTGTCCCTGACTACGACGTTTCCACACAGTCTTGCTGTACCCTGCCTTGTATATACTGCCTGCCTGCATGTGTCCCTGACTACGACGTTTCCACACATTCTTGCTGTACTCTACCATGTATATACTGCCTGCCTGCATGTGTCCCTGACGACGACGTTTTCACACATTCTTGCTGTACTCTACCATGTATATACTGCCTGCCTGCATGTGTCCCTGACGACGACGTTTTCACACAGTGTTACACTCCTATTCCCACACAAGGCTTCTTTGTACTACGGACGTGATTAGGTGACGTGTATACATGTGCAGCATTATCTTAAAAAGAGTTGATAAGCTAATGTTTCATATGCGCCCTTTCCGCACAATTTCACGCAATATACGACGAAAATGTATATTTGAAAATTATGTAATTAATGATTGAAAGAAATGTACATGAGCTTTCATTGTTTATTTGAAGTGTAAACCATGAACCGCGGAAACAGTAAGCTGTGTGTAATAAAGTATTGGATTGGCTATTTATTGGTAAACGGGCTTCAGTGTGCAGGTGAGGTGAGGTGAAATTGGGTTTAACGTCGTGCTTGAGAGTATTTCGCTCATATGACGACGTGCATACGTGTTTATGTGTATGTGTGGCTGCTTGTACTAGCCCAGAATTAAGCTGGTTTTATAGTGCTAGCCCACTGAGATACCATCCCGCAGTGAAGCATGAATACCCCACTCAGACACATTATACTGGGTCCGAGCCGACCGGTCCTTGTTGTACCCATTAATGCCGAGCGCCAGGCAGGGACCAACAAGTACCATATTTTAACGTGTTTTGGTATGACGCGGTCGGGGATCGAACCCGCGACCTTCCGCTGTCCGGGCGGACGCTCTAACCACTACACCACGGAGGCGGTCTCAATGTGCAGCATAACCTAGGACGCAATAGTCTGGTTTCCAACAACATTCTCCCAAATATATATATAACTACGTCTTGTTAACGCACGTCTTGTGTAGGCTATATTTGTAACTCCGGGTGTAACAAGGAGATAAGAAACAACAACAAATTCTAAAACTGGAATGTATTTTTCAATGACATTTAACCAAAGCGCGAGTCTACCTTTGAGAGTTAACGGTATCATTCGTAACTGAAGTATTAACTTGATTGCATCAGTGATTGCCAGCTTCACAAGATGACATTCCAATGGTACAAACTGCGTCTTCCGAATGTATAGTCACTTTACACACAAGGATCGAGCCTCTGTACAACGAGATCTCCTTTTCCTGTACCTATAACCTGATCTCTTGACCACTCCACACTGTGGGTTATGTCCATCCGCGTGGGGCTGGACTATAACCAGCTGTCAGTCTGATCTCTGACCCTTCATATCTCGCCGCCAGGTGCTCGATTGATCATATTTGGTTAGGGCGGACCAATCTGTCGGTGGTGGTCTGCACTATATCTCACAATAACTGGTTGTGAAGACATTTATCAGCATAAAGTACTCACGCCTATTTAAGCCCTCATTGTCCTACATATCATCCATTCCTAAACATATTGAACTGTAAAATTCCCAAAGTTATTTATTACCACCGTACAGGAAGGGTAGTACTGTTGCGTACCTTTACTAGCAAATTGTTATTTCCCTCTTGAAGCTTTATTAATGCCAATATACCTACATACAATGTGCAATCAAAACCTCCTTAATTCAGAGTGCATAAATCCGGAAACGCTGACAACTGATATGAAGGGATAACCTATTAGTATTCATTCTTTGTGGAACAATG